ATTTCTCCACCCACTTTTTATATTATTTATTTCACTTAATTTCCACATTAACTTTTACTATTCACTATATTTTATTTAACCTACTTTTTCACCAACTTTTTATATTATTTTTTTCACTTAATTTCCACATTAACTTTTACTTTTTACTATATTTTATTTCACCTACTTTCACCACTCACTTTTCATATTATTTTTTTTACTTATTTTCCACCTTAATTTTTTATTTATTTTTCAACTCATTTTTAAAAAAAATTATTTTTTATTTAACACTTCTCCATCCGTAACTCTATAAATACCCATATTCTTCACTCCATTTCACACACAATTACATAATATCCATCTCTTTTCTCTAAAAACCTCTTCATTTCATCCCAAAACTCTACTTTATTTTTCTCTCATACTTTACTATTTCATAATCCCTCTATACATATTAAATCTAATACCACATTTCTACTTCAAGGTCATCTTCTTCACATTTCATCTACCTCTTCTCATAAGTAAGGTTTTGCTTCATCATTGAAATCTCCAACAAAGTACACATATTCTTCTCATTCTATTTATATATGCATTTTGATAATTTTTTTAGTTTATAAATTTATCTTGTTTTCTACCACAATTTTATCTTATGGTTTTTTCACATTTTTATGTCATATATACTTCAACTCATCTCTCTTTCTTAATAAAAAGCAAATAAAAATGACAAAAATATATAAAACTTTAAAAAATATATAATAATATAAATAACAGTATGAGTACTCGTGCGATTGTACGCATCAGCCTAATGCTTATTACGCAAAACAATAAAAATAAACAAAAAAAAGTTGTATGAGTACTCGTGTGATCATACGTATCAACCTAGTGCTCACTACGCAAAATAATAAATTAAACAAAAATAATTGTATGAGTACTCGTGCGATCGTACGCATCAGCCTAGTGCTCATTACACAAAATCTAAACATTATATCAAAATACCAAAATAATGTAAAATCTCCAAAAAACTAAAAAATATCAAATTTTCATGCATTTAATCTATGCTAGAACTAAGTGATCCTTGATTCTCCATCAAGAGTGGAGATACATAGGAGCAAGGTCAATTCTTGTCAGGTTCACCCCCCAGAAATCCAAAGTTCACTTCCCTAAAAATCCAAAATAATCTACCAAACAATTTTCTAAAAAATTTCTCAATTAAACTTTCCAAACATAATTTTCAAAAGAACTACGTACCCCTGATTTCTCACACGAGAATACGTAGGAGCAAGGTCAATCCTTGTCAGGCTTCCTAAAAATAAAAAATATTTTTCTTTGATTTGTATTGTCTTACATTGTTATTTTCGGGGAAAAATGACATTTTGAAAACCACATCAACTTTCCACATTTGATTAAAGGTACTGCCTTGGGGCAGGCGTTGTAGGGTTCTAATACCTTCCCTACGCGTAACCGACTCCCGAACTCAAATCTCTTATTTCGTAGACCATGTCTTTATTTTATGGTTTTTCCGTAGTTCTCTAGAATAAACTATGGTGGTAACTCCAAACTCTAACTTTCAAAGATTAATTATTTTTAAAAGTCTCGCCATCACCCCGTCACGATCCTGGTTGCGACAGACGGCGACTCCACTAGGGACCCATTTTTAAGAGAGTTAGGCCATTTAATTATATATGCAAAATTTATTTGGTTTTTCATTATGTTTTTCTTTCCCCCTTTCTTTTTGGGTATGTATATTATGCCTGAAATAATTGCATGTGTGTCTTTACTTTATTTTGATATTTGAAATTCTTGTATGTGAATATTTTTGCTTATATTTTATATGTGACTGGATATTGAACCCTAAGGTAGATAACATGTTATATATCTGCTTGTTTGTGTTTATTTTGAGGGTGTTGTTTTTGTTATGCATTATAATCTCTCTTCACACACGTATTATGCATATCATGAGTGAGGCCTTATACCCGAGTTTGAGCACAAATTAGAATTAGAGAGGTTGTATAATAGTGTCACTCTGGGATGTACTTCCTGTTTGGCTATCGTTAGAGCTCCAGCCAGAGTCTGTTCTCGTCATTTGTGTCTTCACACCTAGTTAATTACTCTGACTGTTGTGAAGATGCAGTGAAGGGAGCCATAACTCTGGTGGTCTTAATATTTAAGTATTAGGGAACCATCCTTGTGAGTGCATGTACATGACCTTAGAACTTTAAGTGCTTAACCTTTGTTAAGGTATAAAAGGGAGCCCGTTTTATCGTTCATTTTTCATCTTTTCTTTGTACATAACAAATAGTTGTATCGTGATGTTATTATTAAAAAATAATAAAATATGTATCATGTTCTAATTCACGTGTATTTGTTTAACATTTAGCTTGTTATCAAGTTCATGGAATCATTCTAAAAAAATAATAATTTTTTTTATAAAAATAATAATTTTGAAGCAAAATAAATATTGTTTGGTCCAATCACTTAATTAAATAAAAAGAAATAAATTATTTTATCATTATTTTGAAATATTTATTTGACTTTCATGATATGAAAATGTTCAAGATCATCACTTTTACATTGACTTCCATCGCCCAGTTCCGTTTATAAAAGAAAAATGATCATACAAGGGGCATTACTCTTAAATGATCGCAAGCAAGTGTCTCTAAAAAAAATATAGATGTCTACTCAATAGTCCAATCAAATAACAAGCGATTTCGCTTGATTAGCCATCCGGCTTTATAGTGCCTTTGCTCAACATGGTAAAAAGTTCTAAAAAGAACTCCCACTAGTCACCACTCGGCCTAGAATACGCCGTTCGGACCAGAGAAGAACAACGACTTAAAGCACATTGAAAATAAGCTCCCCAATACAACAAGGACGGCCTCTCTCAAGCTCATATAAGTCCTATAGTTAACCTTGGCTAAAGCCGAACGGTTAACTCGGACTTGGGTGGCATATGTATGGTATATAGTATAGGCCGAACGGTTAACACTCAGGACCGTTCGATCCATCCGCTACATCAACAATGTTAGGACATAATTGGGCCAATGTTTAAGTTATTATTGGGCTAATACTCCAACAGACGATAAAATAATCAAAGATATCTGATTAAAGATATTGATAAGCCGTTTATGAGTAATTAACCGAATCTAAAGGTAAGTTTGTTTTTATTTTATTGTATCTGTGCTAGTTTAGGATCCATGAGACGACTTATAAATATAAGGTCAAGGCCAAAAGCCAGGTACGTTCGACTAAATCCAAAATACTCAATTGTGGTAAATAATTCACTAAACTACGCCTAACTTGAGCGTTAGAGTGTCTTTTGCAGGTACCACTGGTCAAGAGTGTAAACAAGCGGAGCAGGAGACTCAAGATTGGAAGATAGGAAGATTACGTTAGAAAGGTACATATCTCAGCCTTACACATATCCATACAAAAACAACCTTCATTCTCACAAGTATTCTTTGTATTTCAAGATATAACAAAAACCATAAAGAAACGCAAAACAACCCACCAACACATCACATAGAAAAGTTATTCACAAAATAAAAACTTAAAATGGAACAATCGTAAGAGACAAACTTTTCTAACTACAGATCTCAAATTAAAGACCCTAATAGTCAAAACGAAGAATCATATTTGTATGACCTATTGTCAAAGTTTCAGATCGGTTTGATGATTAACGAAATGAAAATCCAAATTTTTTTGAGATGACTTAAAGTAGGAAAACATAACAAATCATTCAAGAAAACCTCTCTACCAAAATCAACTTTGACACCCATTCAATGAGCTATTTGCTCGCCGAATGAGTTTGTATGACGCATAAACTCAAATTTTGCAATTGGATGGTTTTCAACACAACATAAAACTTCCTCACATGTTTGAATTCGTTTATCAACACTCCAAAGATAATTAAAATCCCTAGTACTAGTTATAACAAGTCAAAATCACAGATTTTACAAAATAGAATTCCAACATTTTGAATATTTATACCATGGAGTATTTATTACCAGTAAAAAGTTAAAATTAAAATTTAATTTATATTTTATTAAGTTAAATTTATTTTAAATCAAATTTTATTTTATATTTTATTAAGTTAAATTTAATTAAAATTAAAAATTTAATTTATATTTAATTTAATTTATATTATGTTTTATATTTTTATTTATATTTTATTTTAAAATTTTATAAAATATTTTTTTAAATAGGTAAGAAATATGTACTATTCATATGTACTATTCATATTTAATCCGTTGCCCTCCCTAATTCGAATAGGCAAGGGAATTTCTTTATTGTTGGTGCAAAACGAAAATATAGAGGTGTAGGAAAAAAAACTTTCTGTTTTTTTAACCAACTAGTTTCTTGTGATTTCATTGTATATAAATAGGCCCTTTCTTTTTGTACCCCAAAAGTTTGAAAATACTAATATTAATTTAGGCAATGAATGGTTTTGCTGTGTATTGTGGTGGTAGTTGTAGGTGGCTGGTGGTGGTTGGCCTTGTAAATGCATTTTCAATGAGTCTCTTAGGTTTTTGTTTTTCAGTTAAGGACTGGACAATTAAAAACCTTAAATTAAATTTTTTATTCCAACCATGACTACAGCAAAAACACATTAAAATCTTAAATTATACATATATATTTTGGTGTCTATTGAAAAGATGACGAAAAAGAAGAAGGAAGCATCCTTTCTTGCCTTCTTAAATGAGAGGATCCAAATTGACGTAGCAAAATAGCGTTGGTTAAGTAAAATAATAATCAACCACCCACCATGTTTGAATTTTTAAACCTTCAAGGAACGGGTCACGGATCCTTGGAAAACCATACGAAAACTCGTCTTTGACATATCGTGTCTTATGAAATTTTTAAGGGTGTGAAGTTGGTACTTAGTCTTTATAAATTTTAAAATATCTCAAAACATTTAATTAAACTAAGACAAATATTAGGAATAAAATAATATTTTTTGAGGGTGTAATATTATTTAGTGAATTTTGTTATGGTGCGAAGGGGAATTTAGCAGACCCCGAGAGAATTTAGCGCTAAAAGGAAAACAAAATAGAACAGAAGGGTAAAACCGTCAAAAGGCGAATTTGAGGGTTGAATCTCTTGGCTTCAGCGTCGTTTGGAAGAAGCACCAAGTAGCGTTTGCGCCCGAGAGAAATTTTCATTGGTTCGTTCATTCGTGTTTAAAAGCAATTGGTTGACAGAGAAAGAGAAGAAGAAGAAGAAGAAGAGGAAGCGATTGCATGAAAAATTGAAGGATGAAGGGATGGGATGGGATTCAATCTTCTTTATCTTCTCGATCGAGTTCCACGTTGGGCCATCAAGCTTCCTCTCGGTTGGGCCACCAACCTTCCTCTCGATCTGTTCGACTCGGCCGAGTTCAGCCTCAGGCTCCGACTCACCGGACCATCTTCTGCAACGATCGCGAGGCCAATTTTCCTATTCGATTCAAGGTTCAACCGTTTTCCTCTCCGGTTTATTATTTGTTCTTTCATTTCGTGTTTGTGTTTTTGTGGTTGGTTGATGCTTTTGCCTGATTCTGTAGTGGTTGAGGATGCTTGTTCAGTGTTTGCTTGAGTGAGTTTCTTGATTGCTTTTTTTTTTGTTAATATTTAGTTTAGTCAAATATCGAGGGTTGGTTCAGCTTGAGCTTTGGTGAATTGATGTTTCTGTGCATTTGACTATTGAGTTTTGTTTGATCTTTGAAATGGTTTTAAGAGTTTATCCGTGTTAGTGCTTTCTTGGACTTCGAAACTCTCAGATTAACTTATATTTTGTTTTTACGGGATCTATCCCACGAAAGAAGAGGTTCTAATAAAACCTTTAGGGTTTTCTTGAGGATGCCTATTCACTCAGTAAGAGTCAGTAAAATGAAATACATCCACATGGGCGTTTGAAATTTCAAATTGCAATCAAATGGAATCACGAGAAACAGGAATAGGGACTACTTGGTCTTGGCATTTTACTTTTCTTTGAAGGAGATGTTTAATTGAATGTTTCGATCATGAGGTGATGTGAGATTCGAGTGGCTGCATCAATGTTCGAAAGCAAGTTGTGGTAGCTCCTACTGTAAAATTGAGATGATGGTAGGACCTTCCTTAGGTGGTTTGAGCATGTATAGAGAATACCTGTGGAAGCCCAGGTAAAGAAACAGATCCGATGGAGGTTACTCCTAATTCTAGAAGCTTAATATAAGTGAAACAATTACGACAGATTCAGTAGCTAATGTTCATTTATAGACATGCTTTGCATCTGAACTCTTTGGTGTCTTTTGATTCATATAATTAATTCCACCAAAGTTGTCATCGTGATGTGTGCTAAAGTGGCACTATCCTGTTGCATCACGTCTGTACACTGCTCAATTGAAGCAATCACATCACAGATTGTGGTCATGTTTGGAGTGGTGCAAGTTGCAGCCACGTTTGTGTATATTTTGTGGCATTTTACTTACAGTGACTTTGGTTTATGGTTGAAAACCCTACTCTGCTCCTACAATACTATGTTATCCAAGGTTTATTTTTGGGAATAATTTTGTGATTTTGCTTCACTTATTTGGGGTTCGGAATTGAAGCCCTTTTGTAAAACAATCGTGTACCCTTTTGTTTCTGCAACATGACTTATTATTCATTGGCGCAGTCTCCTATTTTCTGATGTTTTCAGCACCTTCCTCATGTTGCTGACCTGCATTACCTGGCACTGATCTGACATTTTGTTCTGTGGTTTTTATTTAGTTCTCTCTCTCACTGTTCCCTGTTCTCTCTTAGAGATTGTTCTAATCTTTTGTTTTAAATTCAGAGTCTCTTTTCTTCTTCCCTCTTATTTCTCGTTGCCTACACTTTCAGAATAATCAAGCCAGCTGGGAGCACGCGGTGCTACCTTATGTTCTTTGCCACCTTTATTGCTGGTGGTTAGATCCAGCCCTCTTGTTTGAAACCTTCTCTTGGCTTGACTGTTTTCTTACTTGATAATTGTATTTGCTTTCCTCATCCATCTCTATCAAATGTTGTTTGAACCTTATCTTTGTCCCAGATGAAGTCTTGTTCAATCTATGGTCAGGTGCAGTTTGGTTTTTATATTTGTCCCAGGTGCAGTCTCCCTCCCATCTTTATCTTATTGCAGTCTGGACTCTGTATTCACTTCTTAAGTCCCATATGCTTTGTCCTTTTCCTCTGCCACTATAATAATTGCGGAATATTTCCTTTTAGAGTGCTTGATTCTGATCAACAAGCTTTAAAGATTAGTAAAGTTTAGCTTGAGGGTTAGTGTTAGAATATTTAGAAAATACATCATAAAATCTTTTTATATATTTTAGAATATTTTAGGTTTTTGTAACTTTTGTTTTTAATTAGAAAATGCAAATTACTTTAATTTTGTGTTGTTTTTTAAGGTTTGTATAGTAAATATAAAAAACATAAAAAAAGTTGTTTTCTCACCGTTCCTTACAGAAACTTTTGAAGATAAGGAATAATGTTTACTTTTAATAATTTAAATTGGAAACAGAAACATTTTTCGAACCAAATATGCCCATTGCTGAACTCTTGGGAGTGTTTTCCTTATTTCATTATATTTCCTAGTTAATTAGAATTCGGAATCTGGTATTTAGAATAAATAGGGATCAATGCTCTTTGTATTTTGCAACACATCATTAGATGAACTATATCAATATAATACTCTATTATTTAGAGTGTTCTCTCTATTTCATGCATTACTTAAATCCCTACAATTCAATTGGAAGGAATGGCATTTGACGTTTTGAAGATTGTTACATTTTCATTCATTGAGTCTGTATGGAAAAACTTTTCTAAAAACACTTATAGGAGAAAAAAGCAAGAAGAAAAAGCTAAATAAACTTGTCCGTAAGCTAAAATTAGCATATGCACAATTTAAAAATCAAAATTTATAGAAACTACGAGAGAACCTCTATTTATTATTTTTAAATAAGCCACTTTTAACTTCTAGAGAAACTTATTTCACTTTCCTTATTCTTCTGTTGTTAAAGTGTTTATTTTTCATGAATGAATTTAGTTTTCATGGGAAAGGGCATAAAAATCAGGATTTTACCTTATCTGAGAAGTGTGAAATGAACTCAGCAATAGAGAAAACTTTATAACAAACTGAATTGTATGAATTCTTCACCACTGAAATAAGAAGCTTACAAGAATATTTATGGGTAACCGCATGCAACAAAAGATATGCATACAAAACAGTAATAACCAACAGCTCTAACAGAGTACATGCATGAAAACAAAATATAGCTTTAGTAATAGCTAATAGCTCTAACTGAGTGCACACAATTTTTTCGTACCCTCCCTTAAACTCAAGGAGAAGATTTTTCAGAAGAAAAACACTTCACATCAATCTCCATATGTTTACTGCAATCGTGAAACACCACATTTTGAGCAATAGATGGCGCTTTGGTTATCACAAAGAAGAACCGAAGTAGTAAATGAAACTTGCAATTCAGTGAGAAAAGTACAAATCCATGTTAATTCAATAGATGTTTGAGCCAAACTTTTGTTTTTGGCTTCAATACTATAACAAGCAGTAACTCTCTGCTTGTGAGACCACCAAAATATTCAATTGGAACCAAGAAAGATGGCTGCTCTGGAAGTATAGTGTCTATCATCAATATTAGAGACCCAATCAGGATCACAAAAAAGGCTTTCAGTGACAAAGGTTGTGTAATTGACACTTGCTGGAAATGTAGTCCTTGGAACAAAGTACCTTTTAGATGCTCTAGTTTGTGTTTAATGAAAACCCATTGAGAGTCTAGTGGTCTGGACATAAATTGCCAGACGTTGTTAATAGCAAGCTGATTTCTTCTATAGTAAGAGGGATATATTGCAAAACACCTATCACTGAACAATAAAAAGTAGAATTTAAAAATTATTTGGCCCCGAGCTTTGATAATTTGCAATTTTAAACCTTAGGGGAAAAATTGGAACGAGCTTCTGCCATGTGTTTTGTGAAGCAAGTCTCAAATATATTTGCTTTGAGTCTTAAGAACAAATTTATTGGGTAAATATTTAATTTCAAGGTCAAGAACATTGTTAGAATAATTACTGTTATATATCATCATGAAGGCTTGTCTGCTAGACCATTAATGAATTGTACCTAGTTCTGTACCTAGAGGTCTAATGTAGACTCTTGATGTTCCATGAACTCTTGTAATTTCAATATATATAGAAGATAATGAGAGGGATCAAGCCCTCAAGAATATATTTTATCAGTTTTAATCTCAAGTTGGTATCAGAGCAGGACCTGCTCTAGTTTCTGTCCTGGGTTGTCCACCAGCATTGTCATTGCTGTTCGCATCTGTCTGGTGCCCTTTGTCGTTGTCCGCGGTTGTCTTGTCACTATTTGCAGCTATCAATTGTAGTTTGAAGCTCTTCAACTTGGTTCTCTGCCATCTTGCATCTGTCCGCTGTCTGTCGCTGTCCGCCACCGTCCGCCGCCGTTCGCCATCACTGTTCCGTCTGGCGACTATTGGATCTGGTTCGTCTCTTCACGCGACAACCACCCTCATTGGTTGTTGGAGTCTGATTCTCCTCTACGCTCCGCCACACGCAACTTCTTTGTGCGCTGCGAACAGATGCATATTGTTCACGCGTTGCCCTTTGCTTGTCGGAAAGTCACCGTGACACTTCCATAGCTGTCGCCTGAGCCTCCTCTCTCTGTTCTGACCCTCAAAACCTTACTTTAGTGAAGTTTAGAAGCTCCCCTTGAAGAAAACCCTAAGAAACCCTCTAGGGTTTTCTGGTTCCTCACTGTCGCGCTTTTCCTTCTCCTATTTTTATCAAGAATGGCGTCTGGAAGTGTTCTTTCTTTCTCTGGAAGTCCCTCAATTACTTCCGAAAAGCTAAACGAAAAGAATTATCTGTCTTGGTTTGCTGCCGTGGAAATGTGGTTCCTCGGTCAAGGACATTATGACCACCTTGAGCAGGATGGAAGCCAAGTACCTTCTAAAAAAGCTTAACAATGGAAACAAGCAGATTTCCAATTGAGTGCCCTATTGTGGCAATCTGTGGAACCCCAACTTTTGATATCTCTTAGAGCCTTCAAAACATGCCACTCTTTTTGGAAGAAAGCTCAAAGCATTTATGCTAATGATATTCAACGTCTCTATGATACAACAAACTTGGGGATTGAGATGATTGTGCCAAGCTGTTAGACTTTAATCGCAGATACTCTTGATACTCTTCCTCAGTGAACTTGGAGTTGGAAGTGGGAGTTTCAACCTTAGAGACATTGGCTGTTTTTGAAGGAAAACCATGCAAGGAGTAGCAATTTTCTTGGGTGTGACCCACCCTCTTACCGTAAGTGCACTGTGGACGTCCCTAACCTCCACGTCCTCCTCCTCTAGTGCCACGTCCTCCTCTTCCTCGCGTGGCAACTATGGCAGATGGTTCCTGAGATTGAGGCACTGGAACACGAAGAAGACGTGTGGTCAAGG